ATGTAAAACAGAAACAGGCAGAAATCACTTTTTAAACTGATAGTCATCTGTTTTAAAGTGCCACATTCAAACGCTTTAATACATTTTAAAATACGATACATGCAGAGATAAGTGATCTTTTAAGCTGGAAGTTTCATCAGACTAAATTTGGGATCCTAAATCTTGTGTGCTCTTACCACTTTCTGAGAACAGCATTTCTTGATTGTGAGAGAGAGAGCAAATAGCAAAACTGTTGTGTAGAATGCTCTAATATATTATTATTATTATTATTACTATTATTATTTTACTGACATAAAAGCAGAGTATGTCACAGCAAATGAGATCTATATGCTGGATTTCGTATTAAAAAAACCTCAAGTCGAACACTTCCCACTTATTATTATTATTATTATTATTTGAAACACAACAAGATGTGTCCACAGTAGCCAAGATCACTCTGCTGGCTGTTATTGGATCATACATCGGACACTTCCCAAGTGTCGTCTTCCTCTTCCTCCTCTTCTTCTTCTTATTTTACTGACACAAAAACACAGTATGTCACAGTAAACAAGATATATATGCTGGATTTCGTATCATAAAATCACAAGTCAAACACTTCCCAAGTGTCTAGGACTGTGTGATGTATTTTTGAATGATGCGCACCTGTATTGGTTTATACCAGAGCTTTTGCAGTTCGATTTTTAGGTCCCGATAACAGGTGAGTTTTTCCTGTTGTTTTTCGTCAATTTGACTGTCACCTGGTATGGCGACATCAATAATCCAAACTTTTTTCCCCACAATTGTGAGATCTGGTGTATTATGTTCCAAAACTTTGTCAGTCTAAAATTGAAAGTCCCACAGTATTTTTGCATGTTCGTTTTCCACCACCTTTGCAGGTTTATGATCCCACCAGTTTTTTACTACTGGCAGGTCATTCTTGTGGCATAAGTTCCAATGAATTGTTTGGGCCACATAGTTGTGCCTCTGTTTGTAGTCTGTTTGTATGATTTTCTTGCAGCAGCTGAGGTTATAATCAATGGTTTCATCAGCTTCCTTGCACAGTCTGCATTTTGGATCAGCTGATTTTTTGATCCTGGCTTTGATTGTATTTGTTCTGATTACTTGATCCTGGGCTGCAAGAATCAGTCCTTCTCCTCCTTCTAATTATTATATGTTTTAAGGCACTAGAAACATATCTTATTTCTCTAACCTCAATTCATGAACTGATTTTTGTGGTCAGTCCCTAACTGCTGCACTTGCAGTGGATCAGCACCTTCTCACTTCCTTATTTACTTTTCAACGCCACTTATTTTTCATTCACCTTTAACAAACAAGGAATCTGAAAGGTGAGTTATCAGTACACGTTTGAAGAACTAAAAAGAGAAAAATCCTGGATCAGCCAAGAAATTATAGGATGGAATCTCCTGCTGTAGGAAAAGGTTTCACAAATTGACAATTTCCAGATGTATTAGACCATTCTTAGCCAACAATCATATTATGGGATATTCAGGAAACCGTGCAAGAGGGAAAATGGGAGAAGACAACCTTAAAAGGACCAAAAGAGCACTCACGAATGAGTCAACAGTGAAATGTCTCCCAAAGGCTGATCTGGCCGGGGTGGTCCATGCCTTGGTCACCTCTAGAATGGATTACTGCAATGCGCTCTACGTGGGGCTGCCCTTGAAGACGGCTCGGAAACTCCAACTGGTCCAGCGGGCAGCAGCCAGGATGCTAACTGGGGCTCATTATCAAGAGAGGTCTACCCCTCTGTTTAAGGAGCTCCACTGGCTGCCATTTATTTTCCAAGCCCAATTCAAGGTGCAGGTGCTCACCTACAAAGCCCTGAACGGTTTGGGACCACCCTACCTGCGTGACCGCATCTCCATCTACGAACCCACACGCTCGCTCCGGTCATCTGGGGAGGCCCTGCTCGTGATCCCACCCACGTCGCAAGCGCGCTTGGTGGGGACACGGGACAGGGCCTTTTCTGTGGCGGCCCCCCGACTTTGGAATGCCCTTCCAAAAGATCTTCGCCAGGCCCCTACTTTAGCAGCTTTCAGAAAGAACCTAAAAACTTGGCTGTTCCGATGTGCCTTCTCAGATTAGGAATCCCCCACCCAAGTCCTAGAAGCACTTTAGTACAATTAACATTACTGCACACCGTACTATTTTTATTCCTATGCTCCTCCTGCCACTCTAGCACTTTTAACCCTGTACCCCATTGCGCTGGCCGGCCCAGTTTTAAAGTGTTATGATGTATTGTTATTGTCGTTGCTTGCTTAACTATTGATTTGCTGTGTTTTCTACTGTCGTGTTATGTTTTACTGTATTGTGTTTTGAGGCTTCGGCCTGTGTAAGCCGCATCGAGTCCTCCGGGAGATGCTAGCGGGGTACAAATAAAGTTAATAATAAATAAATAATAATAATAATCCTATGCCTTTTTCTGTAAATCTCACTATTTGCTTTGAAAGCAAATGACTCTTAACAATTAAAACATTAATGAGGTTCTATGTGTGGTTGAAGTGTGCAGGGATGGGTGTGTTGTGTTTTGTGATGTGTGCTGATTTTGAGCCTTAGATAATATTAACAGGTTGAACATTCCTTATCTCAATTTTTTTCACATAAGTGGCTGAGTAATGCCTTTGTTTTCTAATAGTTCCGTGTACACAGACTTTATACCATGTACAAAACTATTTAAAATATTGTTCTTTAACTGCCATAACTCAATTCTGTTGGAATCATGGGAGTTGAAGTTTGGTGAGTTGCCATCACTCTTGGGTAGAGAAGACTAAAGATCTTGTAAAATTACACCTCTCATGAATTTATAGCATTGAGTCATGGCAGTTAAAGTGATGTCAAATTGCAGTGTAGATGCACTCTTGGAATATCTATATTTGCATATATGTACAAAATGAGATATCTCGGAAATAAGACCAAAGACTAACCATTAAATTTATGTTCATATAGAACATATTCCACAGTATAGATGCACTCCAAATTCTGAAAAATCCCATAAATCCAAAATGCCTCTGGTCCCAAGCGTAAGTGATGGTCAACCTGTACAAACCCTATTGAGGTCAGAGCTGGAGGAATGCTCTCCAGACACGCCTTGGAGCCCTCTTGACTTTCAAATCACAACCTGGGAGAGATTGTGGAACTAATTTCCTCATTGGGCAAGCTGCAAGCTTTGGAAACAGGAAATGGGAAGAAAGATAGACAGACTGAAGAAAGACAGGAGGAAAGGAGGGGGAAGAAAGAAGGAAGGCAGGAAGGGGGAAGAAGGAAAGGAAGGAATACATGAAGGAAGATAGGGGAGGGAGAAGAAAGAAGGCAGAAAGGCGGGATGAGAAATGAAGGAAGGAAGAAGGAAAGAAGGGAGGAATGAGGGAGTGAGGGAGAAGAAAGAAGGAAGCAAAGAAGGAGGGTCAGAGGGGTAAGATAGAAGGAAGGCAGGAAGGAGGGAGAAGGGGAAAGGAAGGAAGAATGAAAGAGAGGGAGGTGGAAGAAAAAAGGAAGGAGGGAGGGGGAAGGAGAAAGGAAGAGGGGAAGAAATAAGGAAGGAAGGCGAAAGTGAGGGAGAAGAAAGAAGGAAGCAAAGAAGGAGGGAAAGAGGGGGAAGGAAGAAGGAAGTCAGGAAGGATGTAGAAGGGGAAAGAGAGACAGGAAGGAAGAATGAAAGAGAGAGGGAGGGGGAAGAAAGAAGGAAGATGGGGAGGGGGAAGGAAGAAGGAAGGCAGAATGGAGGGAGGGAGGGGGAAAGAGAGAAAGGAAGTTACAAGGAAAGACAGAGTGAGGCAGAGGGAAGGATAGAAGGGAAGGAGGGAGTAAGGAGCGGGGAAAAAGGAAGGAAGGAGGGAGGGGGAGGAGGAAGGAAGAATGATGGAGGGGGAAGAAAGGAAGGAATACGGGAAGGAAGGAAAAGAAAAAACGCAGGAAGGAGGGAGGGGGAAAGAAAGAAGGAGGAAAGAAGGGAAGGATGGAGGGAGAAGGAAGGGAGCGGGGAAGAAATAAGGAAGGAATGAGAGAGGGAAGAAGAAGGAAGATAGAAGCAAGGAAGGAGGGAAGGGGAAGGAGGGAAGGGGAAGGAGAGGAAGGAAGAAAGGAGGAGGGAGGGGGAAGAAAGAAAGAGGAAAGAAGGGAAGGGAGGAGAGAGGAAGAAAGATGGGGAGGGAGGGGGAAAGAAAGAAGGAAGGAGGAAAAAAAGGGAAGTAAGGAAGGAGGGAGTGTGGGGAAGAAAAAGGAAGGAATGAGAGAGGAGGAGAAGAAGAAGAAGCAAGGAAGGAGGGAGGGGGATGGAAGGAGGGGGAAAAGGGAATGAAAGGAGGAAGGAGGGGGAAGAGAGGGAAGGGGAAGAGAGAGGAAGAAGATGGGGAGGGAGGGGGAAAGAAAGAAGGAAGGAGGAAAAAAAGGGAAGGAAGGAAGAGGGGAGGTGGGGAAGAAAAGGAATGAGAGAGGGAGGAGGAAGGAAGATGGAGAAAGGAAGGAGGGAGGGGGAAAGAGGGAAAGAGGAAGGAAGAAAGAAAGAGAAAGAAGAAAGAAGGAAGGGAAAGAGAGAAGAAAGAAGGGGAGGGAGGGGGAAAGAAAGGAAGGAGGAACGAAAGGAAGAAAGGAGTGGGGAAGAAAGAAGGAAGGAGGGAGGGAGGGAGGAGGAAGGAAGATGGAAGCAAGGAAGGAGGGAGGAAGGGAGGGGGGAAGAAAGAAAGAAAGAAAGAAAGAGGGAAGAAGGGAAGGGAGGAGAAGGAGGAAAGGAGGGAAGGGGAAAGAAAAAAGGAAGGAGGAAAGAACAGAAGGAAGGAGAGCTGTTTCTTCCTTTGACAAGCCAGCCCCCTTCCTGTGGCTGAGGGGAAACCGCTGGCCTCCTTTCCTGAGAAGAGGCCTCCTGGCGCTCCTTGGGCTGAGGCTCGGCCGGCTTCCCTTTCGGGCCCAAGGAGGGACGCTCCGCCTCCATCTTGCGCAGCGCGGCCCTGGGAGGAGGTGCTTCCCTCGCTCCCTCCCTCGCTCCGTCCCCCGCCCGGGCCCTGGCAGGCAGCGCCACCCTCGGCTGTCAGGCGGCGACGGAGCGAGTTGGGCCGGGCCTGGGAGGCAGGCAGGCAGGCGGGTGAAGGGCTGTGCGGGCCAGGGCGCCGAGGGGCCCGCGCTGAGGAGGAGGAGCCGCCGCCGCCGCCACCATGTTTAGGCGGATTTTGCAGAGGGTAAGGGGCCGGGTGGGGGTCGGTGCCTGAGGTCAAGCGGGAGAAGCAACAGCAAGAGCAGCAGCGTGGGGAGGAGGAGGAGGAGGAGGCACTACTACTTCCTGGAGCCGGGCTCGGGCAGCAGCAGCAGCAGCAGAGCAGGGTCGCACCCCCTCTGCCGCCTGGGGCCGCCTGGCCTTCGCCTCTCCCACTGCCTCGCCTCCCCTTCCATGCACAACGTGGAGCCCGCGCCCCTGCCGGCCTCCTCCTGCCCTCAGGCCTTGGCTGAGGAGGAAGGCTTAGGCCTCCCTCCCTCCAGAGAGAGGATCTCTCCGGGGAAAGCCAAGGGGGCCACTGGGGATGGTGTGGGGGAAATCTAGGCCCCGACCACTCATGTTGGGTTGGGCCACTTCCCCCTGAATGTCTCCACTGGGGTTTGGTTCAGCAGGGAGGGCCAACATTCACAAAGGCACCTGGTGTTTAACGAATTTTTGATAAGATTTTTTTTTACACATAATGTAATGTGATTGTAATGCCTGTAAATACTGCACAGACAGTCCCAAGTTAAGAACAAGATAAGTCTGGAGATTTGTTCTTAAGTTGAATGTGCATGTAAGTCGGAACAGATACACTTTAAAGTTTAAATCCAGCCCCATATATCTCAAAACCACCACCACATGGGTGTTAACCCTTCCCTATGCTATATATCAGTGGTTCCCAACCTTTTTTTTTTTGACCAAGGCCCACTTTGACCAGGGTCTACTTTGACCAGGGACCACTTTGGCCAGGCCCACTTTGAACAGGCACCACTTTGACCAGAGCCCACTTTGAATAGGGCTTACTTTGACCAGGGACTACTTTGAACAGTGACCACTTGACTAGGGCCCATTTTGACCAGAACCACTTTGGCCAGGGACCTCTGACCAGAGCTCACTTTGAATAGGGCCTACTTTGACCAGGGCCCACTTTGAACAGTGACCACTTGACCAGGGCCCACTTTGACTAGGGCCCACTTTCCAACATTATTACCAAAAGGGGCAGGACTGGTTGACTCTGAGAAAATGAGCCAAAATAAAAAATAAAACAAAATAAATAAGAGAAAGAAAGTTCGCAAACCGCATTTTCGTTTTCACAGCCCACTGTGGCCCACAGGTTGAGAACCATCTATATCTATCTATCTGTATATATCTGGATATGTATATATATATATACATATATATATATACACACACACACACACACACACACACACAAGCTTTAAATAGTACAGGAAAGGGTTAATACCCCTGTTGGGTTTGTTTTCCTGCTTGTGCTCCTGTTCAGAAGAATCCAGCTCACTTTCTGTCCCTTTGATAATTGGATTTTGGAAAAAATGACTTGTGGAAACAAGGATTGGGGATAATGCTCCAGTGGAGATGCCCCATGATAACTCTCTCAGGACTTAATTTCCCTTCCGAGGAGTAGATTTCTCTCACTTCCTGTTGTGTCACCCTTGTTCTTGACTATGAGTCATTTGTTAGATGCTTGTAACTCTGGGACTGCCTATATACAACGCTATGGTATTGCAAATTAAACATAAAAAAGGAGTTATCAAGTTTCAAAACCTCTTTGTGAGTTTTGACCCACCTTGTAGGACCTCAAAATCCATGGATGTTCAAGTCCTTTTATCCCTTTTATAAAATGGCACAATTGAAGTTTACTTTTTTGGATTTTTAAAAAATATTTCAAGCTGTGGATGGTGGAATCTGTGGATGCAGAATTCATGCTTATGGAGGGTAGACTGCGTTTCAAAGACAGGGTCTCTATTAAGCAGGCAGCATTTGAACCATATACCCTTGGAGATTTGCAACTGGAGTGGGGGCCCTTTTGATCAGCCTGGTGCGGGATAAGGACTAAGCAGAAACAATCTTTTGGTGGAAGGGGAGGTAACAGAGAGTAGGAATTTGGTGGAATCCTGTGGCACCCATTTGATGAAGGATCTGAAGCTGTTCCTACATGCCATCATGCCCCTGGGTTAAACATAACTGATTTTCATGTTTAGACTTGGATCTCATTTCCAAGATATCTCCTTGTGTATATATGTTCAAATACAGGAGTTTCAGAATCAGAAATCTGAAACACTTCTGATCCTAAGCATAAGGGATACTTAACCTGCAGTATGTGTAAACTAAATTATGGTGGCATGAGAGAGCTCCATCTTCGTGGTGGTGGGTTGAAAGAAAGTAGGAATTTGGTGAACACCTATAGAACCCATTTGGTGAAGGATTTATTCCTGGAGATGCCTCTGAATGTCATCATGCCATTGGGTTGCTACCAGAGAGCTGGCAAACTAAATTATAGTGGAACGGGGAGCTCCGTCTTTGTGATGATAATTGTAGAGAAACTAGGAGGAATTCATTTGGTGAAGGTTTTGTCTCTGGAACTGCTCCTACATGTCATCATGCCACTGGGTTACTGTCAAATGATTGGCAGACTAAATTATGGTGTGAGTTTGGTGAACACCTATGGGACACATTTGGTGAAAGATTTGTCCCTGGAAGTGATTCTGTATGTCATCGTGCCATAAGATTACTGTCAGGCAGATGGTAAATTAAATTATGGTGGTATGGGACGTTCCATCTTCATGATGGTGGAGAAATTAGGAGTTTGGTGAATATCTATGAAAGTCATTTGGTGAAGGATCAGACTCTGAAGTTCCCCTATCTGGCATCATTCCATAAACTGCCAGATTGTTAGCAGACTAAATGACTCTGTTATGGAGAGCTCCATCTTTATGTTGGTGGGTGAAGAGAAAGTAGGAGTTTGGTGAACACCCGTGGAACAATTTGATGACGGGTTCATTTCTGGAGCTGCCCCAACATGTCATTAGGCTATGGGGTTGTTTTCAGATGGTTGGCGGACTAAATTATGATGGTATGGGAAGCTCCATCTTCATAGTGATGGGTGGAACAAGAAGGAGGAAAGAAGATGGGATGAAATTTAGAAGGAGGAATTAATCATGACCAATATATAGAGCAGTGGTTCTCAACCTGTGGGTCCCCAGATGTTTTGGCCTTCAACTCCCAGAACTCCTAACAGCTGGTAAACTGGCTGGGATTTCTGGAAGTTGTAGGCTAAAACACCTGGGGACCCACAGGTGGAGAACCACTGATATAGAGGATTCATACGGCTTTGAGGGAACTTTTAGCTTAGCTTCTGTGAATTTATCTCCAGTTGCTGCAAAGCCTAGTGCTAAAGGCCTCAGCACTTGACACAGAGTTAAGCCAGACTCATTTCTCCTTGTCGCTGGGAGGTGACTCCCTTTGAGGGCAGATGACATTACTCACTGACTCTTCCAAGGCTGCTGTTATTAAACATCACAGCAGATTACATCAGTGCGAAGTTGCAGGAGTCATTGCCTGTTGGCTCATACAGACTCTTGATATCTCACACACCTGTTTGCATACACTTGCAAACGTTGGTGGCAAAATATGGTACCACACATCCACTTATTGATAGTTTGTACAAGCTGCGCATGCCTGAAAAGGGCAAATACACCTGTACTAAGATGATATAAAGTACCTCCCCAGCCAGTAAAGCTCTTACAATTGTCTTTTGTAGTTGGTCTTTTTTATATATATATATAATCTTTTATTACTTCTCCAACTTACTGTGGCTAGGGGAGGAATCACGACATCCCCCAAATGTTGTTGCAACTCTCAGAATTCCTCACCAGCCAAGTGGGTTTGCTGGTTAGGATCCTCAAGTTGCTTTCAAACAACATCTGGAGGGACATTGGAATGATTCCCCTGATTATGGAAGGGTTTTGACTCAAGATTTATAGGTAATGTGAGCCCATATTCAGTCTGGCTTTGTAATTAAATTGTCTTCACTAAGAAGATTTAAGAAAGACTTGCCCATAAGTCTGGAGAATTGCTGTCAGTATATGGTACTGGATCAGTGTTTGGCTATTATATGCATTTCGGCTCTTCCATTCCACTGATTGCATTAAAAAGAGGAAGTTTTGGTTTCTGTTCTGAAGAGACAAAAAGAGGACAAGAGCCCTTTTCTATAAGAAGTCTTTGTGTCATTAAAACAATGAAGATAACAGAGTGAACATGATAGAACTGCCATAATATAGAGTTTCTTTTTGGTCATGGAGAGGTGCTCCGGAGATTAAAGTAAATTCTTGACTTTGTTGAGGGTTCAGCTTTAAACTAAGCAGAACAGAGTTCAATCATAGAGTTGGTTCATAGAGTGAATGCTCTGATTTCTTCATCTCTATCTTGTAATGCTAGTTGTATGAAGAACTTAAATCATGTAGATTTGACACTCACTTCAAAAATCTGTAACAGCTTTTCAGATAGTTCACTAGTAATTAGTTGAGTTGTCTTTGAATGAGCAGTTATGGCAGTAATGGAAAAGGGGTTTATCTTGTGCATTAGGAGTTTTTACTGGATTTAATGTGTGCCGATTTTTTGTTTGTTTTTGAGAGTTTGATCTTCTAATGTTGCCTGCTCTAATGCAGTTTCTGAAAGTTCAGATTTTATAGCTAATTGTATACTTGCCAATTTTGGGATTCATATTTTTGTATCCATATTCTGCTTTTACTACTCTGAATAGGATCCAGAATGGCTAATCTTTTAGCTCATCTTGCTTTAGCCACTTTTTAGCTTATCTAGCTTTAGCCTTTTAGTAAGCTGCCTTGGATTTCATTACATTGGAAAGGTAGCCTGTGAAATAAATAAATAAATGTAATAAATGGTTAGTAAATAACAGTTAAAATATGAAGCAAAATTAAAAACGAAAGTGCAGTTTACAGCACAGCTGTAAAAGAAGCATAGTACTCAGATGATTAGAGGTCCGTTGTCAATGCCTGCCTGGTCACTTTTTAAAAAACTAACTTAAATAAATACAGAAAAATGTATCCATTGTAGATGTGAATTATGTACTTTAACTATTACAGATAGCAGTCCTGTAAAATGGCATTTTAATGTACTGTTTCTGTTCATGGGTGACCTTTTGATTTAATTTGCTACTGCACTTTTTCTCCATGGAAAAGTACATTTGTGAGTATTCTTTCCAAATAGCAGAAACGTACATCTGTATTTGATTTATATTGCTGTTTGCCAGATCTTCCTTCGCTTAGGAAGTAATAAGGACTGTTCAGATGCAGAATGACCCCTAACCTAAAAAAATTATGTAGTATAGTATTTTAAATCTAGGGTTGGGCAGCTGGGGAATCCAAATGTTCAATAGAGCTCTAAAAATGTTCAGCTGTTCAGCATAAGTTGCCATTGAGTGTGTTCGATCTCAAGCACATGTTCAAAAGGCCAGGGCTGGATTATAGTTTCTCTGAAATTGTACTTCAAATCATATTTGAGAAACTCATCCTTTATTAGTAATGTTACACTGGTATTTTCTGTGAACAGCATTCATTTGTCTTTAAATTCCCACGTTCACACAACTGAGAATTCAAAGGAATATTTGGCTGTGAATGGTTTTTGTTCTATAGGCTATTAAGTGTAAATTTGTCTTTTGCTAACAGAAAGGAATGTTTTTGTATTAGTTGCTGACTAAATATCTGATCTTTCTGGTTCCTCCACCCCCATGCCTGGTAAGAATTAACTGTTCACACTGGGTAGTTTTGTACATGAGAAAGGTCCTATTTGCTTCTTAAGGTGTCTGCCTTCTTATGTTTTGAATGAAACTTGGTAGATGGCAATTCTCCTTGGTCTGAGTTTTCAGAGAGCATAGAGTATGGTTAACTTGTGTTTTAGTGATAAATCATTCAAATTATTTCTGAATACCTTTCTACTTTTGAAATATTCAAAGTGTTCTTACTTATTATGTATTAAGATAAATTCATTGTGTTCTTTCTCTCTTTTAGAATCCAGGCAGAGTTGGATCTCAGGCCTCAGATTCTGACTCTGCAGTCTCTGGAAATGCGGTTGATGTTAACAACGAGAGCTCTTCAGAGGTATTGTATTGAAAAACTACCTAAGATTAATTTTAATCCCCTGGATGTAATCAACTGTTTTGAAAATAATGGTTTGAGATATTTATTTCCTGGTCCTAATTATTTCAGCAGTGATATTATAATATCATGAAATACTGCATAACATTTAGATATTGCTGTGTTTGCTTGTGAATTTCTTCAACATCATTCTTTTGATTTACTGGTACATAAAATAGGATTATTGAAGTGCAAGTTGACCAAAATTAAATACATGTAAGCATGCATGAGAGGCGTTGATTAACGATTTCCCCTGACCCACTTCTATTTATCACAGGATGGTGCAACTGCACTTGTATAAATGATATAAGTCTCTATAGGTTGTGTGCCGGTTTACAACTCAGAACTGATAACGGTCTTGATTTTATAGGTGCTCAAGTGGTGTGAGGTTTGATAATGGACCCAGTGGAATACAGAGCAGTCATCAAGTTCCTTTACTTGAAAGGCCACACACCAAAGGAGGCATTCGATGAGATGAAAGAGGTTTATGGTGATGATTTCCCATCATATGATGTAGTCAAGAACTGACATCATCAATTCAAATATGGTTGGACTTCGGAGCAAACAGCTCCAATGCAGGGTGACCCCACTGCTGTTGATGAGTACACCATCCAGCAAGTGGAGGTCACCATTTTGGAGAATTGCCGCTTAACCATTCACCACCTAGCCCAAACTGTTAAGATTGGTGTGGGGTCTGTGGAATTATTAAATACCATCTTCACATGAATAAGGTATCTGCTTGCTGGGTCCCCCAGCTGCTCTCACCTTTTCAGAAGCAGGAACAAGTTGAATGCTCTCAGGCTCTATTGATGATGTGTCATGGAAACCAGGAGTACTTTTCCAACAAACTGATCACACAGGTTGAAAGCTGGTTCCATCACTATGATCCTGAGACTAAAGTCCAGTTGATGCAATGGAAGCATCATGACTCGCTGCTTCCAAAGAAGGCATCTGCCCAACTCTCAGCAGGCAAGGTCATGTGCACAGTATTTTAGGACCAGCATGGAGTAGTATCGAAGGATTTCCTAGCAATGGGTACCATGATTAGTAGGACATACTATGCTTAACTGCTGTGGAAATTGTGGGAGGCCATCAAAACAAAGAGACGTGGCATGCTCACCAAAGGTGACAATGCACCAGTTCACAACTCACATGTTGCCCGAATTGAAGCATGCTTCTGTGGCTTTGAAATTCTACCACATCCCTTTACTCACCTGACCTCGCACCATTGGACTTCCACCTCTTTCCAACAATGAAGTTATTTTTTGAAGAGCAAGCATTTTTCAGATGATGAAACTTTTGATTTTTGAAGTCACAACGCGGCTTTTGGAGCAACCTGTTGGCTTCTACAAGCGAGTCATGTTTACAGTTGCTTAAAAAGATGGGAAAAGTGTGTCTCTCTGGGTGGCACGATGTAGAGAAGGATTAATAACTGTGCCAAATTTCATTACTCTCAGTCCATAGGAAGTGGGTCAGGGGAAATCTTTAATGAATGTCCCTCGTATGTGAATGAGACTGTGTATAAGCTTAACACTTTTTTGCAAATGAATTGTGCACATATTTTTGCTCTGATGTAGGGAGTAGTCAAGGTTGTTCTCTGCCCTGAGTCCCTTTTGGGGTGAGAAGGGCGGAATATAAATGTTTTAAATAAATAAATAAATAAATAAATAAATAAATAAATAAATAAATGTCTCCTTACAGCTAGATAGGGTTCCAGAATACCTAATGAAAGCAATTGTAAGGGCTATATTTTAAAAATACATCCCTGAGTATGCAATGAATAATTATTGCCAAGTGGACAATTTTACATTTTTGGGCAAGGTAATGGACTATATTGTGCCCCCCAGCCCCAGAGTTTCCTGAATGAAACTGGTTATTTTGATCTGTTAAATTTTGGTTTGAGGCCTGGTTATGGACAAAGATGGCTTTGGTTGCCTTGGTGAATGACATTCTCTGAGAACTGGACAGGGAGAGTGCTTTTTTTGTTTCTGCTAGAACTCTTAGTAGATTTTGGAACTATTCTCTGATATCCTCCTAGGTATCCTCTCTTAAATGGGACTTGGAAGCACTGTTTTGTAATGGTTCTGTTCTTTTCTAGAATGTTGAGATCAAAGGATGATGCTGGTTAACTCCTCTTAAGGTCTTGTGGACTCCTTGACAGCTCTTGGTCTCCCATGTTATTTAAATTCAACATGAAACAATTGAAAGAGGTTGTCCAGAGATTTGGGGTTCAGTGCCACAAGCTTTATGATGAGATCAAATACCCCCTTTCCTTTAGCCCAAACACCAAGGAAGCTGTTTCAGTTATAAACCAGTAACAAGCACTGATAATGGGTTGGATAACTGGGGAAAGAGAGATACATTTCTCATTATTTGAAAGATCAGGAGTAAGGATTCAGTTTGTGGTGGATAGGGTTACATTTTCCTGAGATTTTAGATTTGTCATTTGGCTGTAGTCGTGGACTCCGATTTGAATCTGGAGGACCAGGTTCCAGTAATAGCAGAAGTGCTTTTGTTCACTTAAAGCTAGTGAACCAACTGTGTCCATTCCTGGAGACATCTGATCTGGCTAGAGTGGCACATGCTTTAGTTACATCCTGCTTTGTTTGCTCTATTTAGGATTGATTTTGGAGAGTGTTCAGAAATTTCAGTTGGTATAGATGGCGTAACCAGATTCTTAAGCTGGGGGTGGTTTCAGGGACTGTGTAACTCCCTTGCTACATCCATTCTACTGGCTGTCAGTTTGTTTCTGGCAAGATTCAAACGGCTGCTCGTGGCAATGAAGTCATCATACATGGCTCAGGTCCAGGCTGTCTGACTGGGTTTATATTCCTGCATGACCCTGTTCTTCTCTTTGCAGGCATAGCTGCTGGTTATAGGAGACATGGCCTTCTTAGTGCCTGTCCCACAGCTTTGCAACTCCCTTACTTGAAAGTAATATCAATGTCTTATCTAAAAGTATGTTTAAGATTTTTTTGTTTGTTTTAGGATGTGATGAGGTGAAGATTTGTCTTGGTAATCTCCACTCAAGGAATTGTTTATCCATTTCATGAGAAATCCATTTCATGTTTCTGTGGGGAAATTAATCTATGCTAGATTCATTGAAAAGAAGTGGTTACTTGCAGGAAAAGATAACTTGCACAGCAGTGAGATTTGCATGTCATGACATAATTGAATGGGTTTTGTAAAATAGGGCTGTTTCAATATTTTAGTTTTTTATCTAAAAAGATGAGATTTAGATCTCCCATAGCTCTATGTATCTACCATATATAATATGTTCTTTTCAAGAGATGAAAATAAAATTGACCCAGCAAGTATTTCTTCTAGGAATATGTAGCAGTATGCTCTTTCAAAAACTGAGTTTAGGAGCCATCAGTTAAAAAAAAAACCAGTTAATAATGTAAGAAAAAACTGCCTGGGATGGAACTGACCTCCTGACCTTCACGGAAAAAAAATGAAAACATGTCTCTGGGACCAGGCTTTTGGCTTGTAATGGGGGTAGTACAATAAGATACTATAAATTAACATAATGACAACTCGGACTGGCTCTGGAATATGACCTGTATTATGTGATTTTAATTGATGTTTTAATGCTATGTTTTAATTGGTTTGTTTATTTATCGATGCATGTGTATATGTGGCATGGAATTGTTGCCTTTGTAAGGCTGCCCTGAGCTGCCTTCAGGTTTGGAAAGGGCGGGATACAAATGTGGTAAATAAATAAATAAATAAATAAATGTTACTGGGTGAATTTGCTTTTAGATATGGCCAGTCTCAAGCTCATAGAGAGGCAACGTAATGTAGTGGTTAGCATGTTGCACTACAACTCTGGAGACCAGGGTTTGAACCCTTGCTCAGCCTTGCAAACCCACAAGATGATTTGGATGAATCATACTCTCTCAAGACTCAGAGGAAGGCAAAGGCAAACCTCCTCTGAATAAATGTTGGCATGTGATAGAGTCACCATAAGTTGGAATGTTCTTAACTGCCTCGATCTAACTTTTTCCTCTGTTGCAAGGCTGCACTGAGGATTAGGCAATCTTATTAAATGGGGTGGTGGAGAATTGACTATAGGATAGGAATAAGGTACAATCCCTGTTATGGGGCTGTGAATTGAGCTCTACTCTAAAGCTACTTTGTCCCAATTTTTGGAAGTTTTTCCTAGCTTCTGTACCAGTCATTTATAACCCTTGGTGACTGCTATAAAAGGAATGGGTCTGTATGTCAACTGCCTTTGCTGCCTCAGTGTCTAGCTTCTGTCAACCCACCTCTCAGGGTAAAATGTAGGGTGTGATCCAACTCTACCTGGCCATTGAAAGTGGTGCCAGTTATTCCTTACCTACCTGCAACCTCAAAACAAATCCCAACATTGGGCCCTAAATATGTAGGCTGAATCAAGGAATAGTTAAATACACCAAAGCTGAGGCTAGAGGGCAGTTGTTAACAGCAGAGATATCACCTATGTAAGCTATGAATTTTAATATTTAACTTAAAACTATTAACAGAGATCAGCACATCATTTTGAAATGTTGATATTTACGGAGAAATGCTTGTTTTTACTTTTTGACTTTTATTTCATTTACATTGCTTGAAAAGGTTTGTATGCTTAAAAGCAACTGTTTCACAGGGCTTCATCTGTCCAGTATGTATGAAAATGTGCATTACTGCCCCTGAGTTATCTGAACATTACCAGAATGAACACGTTGGGACAGAAACAAGAAGACTGGAGCTGCATGAATTACCTGCTAGTACAGTGGGTCTTATTTATTTGGTGTCAGTGGCTTGGGTCTGGGGAGCTTTTTATGAATACTTTTATTTTCTGATTGCTTGGGGTGAGTCTCTGGCCTTTCTGGACTCTACTTGCTCTGTGGATATATGAGGTGATCTTCTTTTCTATCCTTAATGGCAAATGTCTGCTATGGGTGTTTTGTGTTTCCTTCTTCTTGGTTTGTACCTATCTTTGTGAAATGTCTGGAATATTGAAAATACTTGCATTTAAAAACTTTAAAATATTAGATGATGATCAGCTTTGTACAAAATCACTTTGCTTCTACATATGTTGTAATGAGCCCAAACAATATATAATATTTGTATAAATCCTTTTCCCATTTTAAAGGTTTAGGATTAATTTACCTGCTACTTAGAGATTATCCTTAGATTTTCTTGAGTGGGTCAAAATGCATTAAGTCCCTCCCCCCCCCCCCAATACTATTTGAAATTTGGCTAAATGATCAAACCTCAAAACACTTTAAAATAAGGAAAGTTGGAGGTGTGTTGTGTTATCAACAAAAAACCTCCCTGGTTTTGGTCACGCTATCAATAATCCCCATGGGTATAATTTATCTCAGAGAATGTTAATTTTGCTTTGGCGGTTTTTGTCAAGAGGTGCCATATTGAAAAGACACTGCTAATTGAGGAAAAGTCAGAATTGTTTCTTTTGGAACATTTCCTACATAATTTGAGTAATAATACCAAATGAATTCTTTTGTTAAATTATAGTGAATATTCTACAGGCTCTCTTACCACAATGCAGCCATTTTATTTATTAGCTCTTAAAGCAGAGACTTTAGAGTTCTGGTTTTCTGCTGGTGTCATATTGTTCCTTTAATAACAAATTAGTGAATTCAGGCTCCTTTGTACTTGTAAGGCTACTCAGTTATTGAGTCACAATATATTTTCATCTCAGCTGAGTTTATTTTTGTTGTCTTCTCCTTTGAATGCATTTTTAAAAAACATTGACTGGCAATTTGTTGGTTAGTATCAATCAGAGTAGACCTGTTCAACCAGTTGTTCAATGAAAAGTCAACATGTAGGTAAATCCCAATGGGTCTACTATGAGCAGCAGGATGTAGGCCAATGTTTTAAAATATTGTGATTAGTTCACTTAGTGCTGCCCTTGACTACCTGTTATTTGTGGATCAATTTAACGGTTACTAAGTGCCCAATGCTCATTACATATAGTGGGCTCATTCTAGATTTAGTCAACTGTTAACCCATTGAAATGGGCCTGAATATCATAAAGGCACCGGATCCCACCTGACCTTTGAAACCAAAGCAAGGTCAGCCCTGGATGGGAGAGTGCCAGTGAATACTAGGTATTATAGGCTATATAGTTTGCATTCACAAAAAGACCTCTGAGTATTCTTTGTCTAAGAAAACCCTATGAAACTATAGGGGGGGTCCATAAATTGCAAAGCATATTGCAATTGCAAGGCATATACACTGTGGTTTTATAAGTTTTTATGGATTTAATCTGAATTGTTCTTAATACTAATGATGTTTAATACCATTTTAATATTTATATGTTTGTATATTTTAAATTGTATGGTAATACTTTTAATGTTAGGCTCTTTGAATTTCCTTATGGAGAGAAAAAGCAGGATATAAATAAACATAAAGATAAACATAATAATAATAATAATTAGGTTCTTGTGGGTTTTTTCGGGTTATAGGGCCATGTTCTAGAGGCATTTCTCCTGACGTTTCGCCTGCATCTATGGCAAGCATCCTCAGAGGTAGTGAGGTCTCTTGGAATTAGGACAATGGGTTTATATATCTGTGGAATGGCTGGGGTGGGGCAAAGAGCTCTTCTCTGCTGGAGCTAGGTGTGAATGTTTCAACTGACCACCTTCATTAGCATTTGTGAAGGCCTGGCTGAGCCTGGGAAAATCTTTTGTTGAGAGGTGTTAAGATGTGCCTGGTTGTTTCCTCTCTGCTTTTTTGCTGTTGTAATTTTAGAGTTTTTTTAATACTGGTAGCCAGATTTTGTTCATTTTCATGGTCCCTTCCTTTCTGTTGAAATTGTCCACATGCTTGTGGATTTCAATGGCTTCTCTGTGTAGTCTGACATGGTGGTTGTTGGTGTGGTCAGCATTTCTGTGTTCTCAAATAATCTGCTGTGTCCAGGCTGGTTCATCAGGTGCTCTGCTATGGCTGACTTCTCTGGTTGAAGCAGTCTGCAGTGCCTTTCATGTCCCTTGATGTGTCTGGGCAATGCTGCGTTTGGTGGTCCCTATGTAGACTTGTCCACAGCTGCATGGTACACGGTAGACTCCTGCAGAGGTGAGAGGATCCCTCTTGTCCTTTGCTGAACGTAGCATTTGTTGGTTTTGGTGGGTTTGTAGATTGTTTGTATGTTGTGTTTCCTCATCAGCTTCCCTATGCGGTCAGTGGTTCCCTTGATGTATGGCAGGAACACTTTTCCTCTGGGTGGATCTTTGTCTTTATTCTCGTGGCTTGTTCTTGGTCTTGCAGCTCTTCTGATGTCTGAGGTGGAGTATCCATTGGCCTGGAGAGCCCAATTGAGGTGGTTCAGTTCATCTTGGAGGAGGTGGGGTTCGCAGATTCTTTTTGCACAGTGTGTGCCAAGGCTTTAATGGTGCTTCGTTTTTGACTTGGATGATGGTTGGAGTTTTTATGTAGATATCTATCTGTGTGTGTGGGTTTTCTGTAGACGGTGTGACCCAATTGTTGATCTGGGTAACTAGATCAACTAGATTGCGGATAACTAGGACATCTAGAAAAGGCAGTCTTCCTTCATTTTCTTTTTCCATTGTGAATTGGATTTTTGGGTGGATGCTGTTAAGATGGTCCAGGAACCTGTTGAGTTCTTCTTCTCCATGGCTCCAAATGGTGAAGGTGTCATCCACATTTCTTTGTCGTGTCGTCTGTGAAATGAGCACTGATGGGTCTTCCTGTGCGCCTGCGCAGAAATTCGGAATATACTATAGCTTTAATTGAGTTTTTTTAACCTATAAGAAGCCACGCCCACCCACCCCCCCCCCCGCACGTATAAAGGACCCACAGAGTGGTTTCACTTTAGTTCCTTTTCCGCGCGACAGCAAGTACTTCGGTCTATGCTATTCTATCCCTGCTTACTTCTCTGGTTATTGGACTCTTTTTCTGGCTTCTGACTACGCTGACTTCTCCTTCCCTGACCCTGGACTGTCCTGGATTCTTCTCAGGCTAGATGGCTACTTTATTTTTTAAAAACTGTTCGGCTTGTGGGACTACCCTCCCCGATGCCGATAGGCACTCGAAGTGCCTCTTATGCCTGGGCGAGTCTCACAGCCCCCAGACCTGTGAGATCTGCAAAAGCTTTACAACTAGAGCTCGTAAAAGCAGAGATGCCCGTCTAAAAGCTCTACTATATGAAAGAGCTCTGGCCCCGGAAGCTCCTTCCACTTCTGCGCGCCACGTGGCTGAGTCCCAATCCCCTGATATACAGACTGCTCAGCCTCCCTCTCCTGCTGGAGATAGGCTTGACTCCAACTTACCCTCTGCCTCCCTTGCGGAGCCTTTGAGGAAGAAATCTAAGCCTTCCAAACAGACTTCAAAATCAGGCAAATCAAAAGAAAGAAATACCAAACAGAAAAAGGGACGGCAACTCACTGGCACACAGCCCTTGAGCCCTCCCCCTCTGGATCCGATGCCTCAGCCACTCCCCTCTCCCCACCATGTGCAAGAATCGTTGGCGTCCTTCCTCCAGATTGAAAACCCTCCCCAACTTCCCCCCCTTGAACTCCTTTCCACTCACCTTCAGGGACAAGCCTCGCCGGATCCGGCTCTCTCGCCGCCTCCGCTTCCTCCCTCCCAGTCCTCCACCCCTCCCAACTTGATTAGCCCTGCCCCTTCGGTACCGCTGGCTTCCACTCCCCAAGAACTTCGCCCCCGAAGAGAGCATTCCCCGCGGAACCGCTGTTCCGCCTCTTCTGAGCGCTCCCAAAGCCCCTCGCCACCTCCTCCTAAGCGCGCGCGCGCACACCCTCCCCAACCCATTCCTTATCCATACCCGGATTATCCCTACCATATCTATCCTCCTCCTCCTCCATACCCGGCCTATCCCTTTTACTATCCTCCTCCAGATCACTATGGAGAACAAGGGCCTGCTGATCCTCACCTACATAGGCCCTCATACCCTCAGCCCTCACGTGTGCCCCCCTCGGCCACCATTTCTCGCCCTCCCCCACATCCTCAACCAATAGAGGAGGATCCTCCTCCAGAGGATTCCCCTCCCCCTCAACCTGACTCTGATACTATTGAACTTGGTTCCCAAGACGATACCCCCGCCTTCCCTGATCCTCAGCCTGACTCTGATATCACTCCTCAACAACTTCAAGATTTCAAAAATTTTTCCGCCTTGCTAATTAGGCTCTCTAGAGCCCTTAACTTGTCCATTCCTGAACCCTCTGACACAGTTCAGGACCCTTGCTTCACCACTTCTGAACAACAGCCCCCTGTATCGACCTCCCTACCCACCCTACCTTACCTTCTAAAAATCCTGAAGACTACTGGGATTGTACCAGCTCTTGTGCCAGCTACACCCAAAAGAGCAGAAAATCTTTACCGTATTGACCTTACTTCTGCATCATGGCTCTCTAAGATGCCTAAAGCAAATTCTATAGTGACAGATGCTCAACCAAAACCTATATCACTCCTCAACAACTTCAAGCTAACCAATCCTCCCCTTCGGTTAAAGAAGGGAGGAAACTGGACACTATGGCCAAAAAATTTTACTCCTCAGCATGCTTGTTTGCACGCATGGCTCACTATGGAGTCTATATGAGTGTCTATCAGACTCATCTCTGGAATAAACTGACTCCTTACTTAGATCTCCTTCCTACGACGGATCAGCCCTTAATTAAGGCCTTCCACCAGGAAGCACTACTACTGTCTAAATTACAAAAAGACCTTGCAAAAAATACTTCTGACACTTCTGCTAAACTCATTGCTGGCTCAGTGGCCTTGCATCGC